AAAAAAAAAGAAAGAAAGAAAGAAAGAAAGAAAAGAAAAGAAAAGAAATTATGATTCGTACGAGGGTTATTAGCAAACTAAATGAAAAATTTGTAGTAAGAGTAGTTGAGATTGAGTATATCAAGTTCTGTCTCTTTTGTCTTATGAATAATCGAACAAAAAAAGAACGAATATTTTGGAGGGGGCAATTCAGCGGTGTTCTTGATGCGTCCAGATGGTTCAGGAATCTTCCCCGCCACTTGCCCGATAGTATAGATTACCACCGCAACAAACACTCGGACGTACACATCGTACGTCCAACAAAAACAAGCCGAAACACATCACGAATCTATTAGTTCAGGAGTTGACCACAATGGACCGCCTCTTCTGCTTCATACGGAGATGGTATCGGAATCTGATAGCTACCGGATCTACCCCTCCATGACTTAGTATGAACCTAAGGTACTTAATCTGCGGGCGGCGGCTATGACTGATCGTTATCATACAACTAGTAGGCCTGAGATAATAAATCTCCTTCCTCACCACAAGCAAGGCAGACTCGTGCAGATCCGCTCATACGATACGAATACGGAGGGAAGTGCACGCAATGCGTTCTGGGGCTTCCAGTCACAACCCTTCCTAGTAACACCTTTTGATGTTTGTAATCAAATATGCAGTTGCTAGAGATGGTTACGCCAGCATAGGGGTCAGGGTAGCCCCCTACTTATACTAAAGGAACTGCCAATCTGGTGTCCTAACTCTGATTAGGAATGATTTTGATATGTTCACTCTAACACGAGAATATGACAATAGGGACAAAGAAACCTCTGTCCATCAGCATATGGGCATAGAAATAAACGGGATCTGATGATATGCTATATAAACATAACTACTAATACAGTACAGTACATAGTTCGTATCACATGCTTACATAATGGCTGTTCATCGCACAAAATACTACTACCCCGCGATGGATTGTCAACCCCGCGGACGCTGTCAGTTGGTCCATTCTGAAGCTGCTGGTATGGGTGACGACTGTAATTACGAGAATAATCCAACTGTGATGGACCGACTTCTCCCGGGAATTGGGCACTGGTATTGGTGCTTATAAGAATCTTCTTAAAATGGATGAAAAGGCGGTAAGGCAGGAATTGCAGCACAGTAGGTATGTATGTACGCGCACATGCAATGGAAGATAATGTATGGATATGACCGCCATTGGTTTAGTCGTCTATCAAACCTTCGATGGGGTTGAATTATCTCCCTTAAAAGACTTATTAAAGATCAGCAATAAGTCTGACATTCAGAGACCCCCACAATCTTCTAGACCCTAGACAAAAGGTGATTCGCAAGAAGAACGTTTAAAAAAAAAAAAAAAAAAAAAAGAGGGGCAAAGTTCAAAGGGATTGTGCTCGTAAAGAATCTGGAAGCCTGGAATTGACATCGTCATCATGTCTAGAGCTTATGGTGATAACCGACCCTGATTACTTTTGTGACCCTGTTCGCCGGGACGCTATGGGCTGAACCATTCGTAAACAGCCACAGGATCTGCCCCACGAGGATGCGCAAGTGGTTTTTGCCATCCAGCAGTGCTTAAAGGGAAAAAGGACACCTCAGCTGGTATCCTTCCCGAACCGTTCTTACATTAGAGGTGACGATAGATGGAGTTCGGCGACGAAACTGTTGTGGAATGGAGATAGAGGAAGGAATGGAAGGATTATACACGGTCCCTACCAGCATATATTTTCCTTTTGTTTCTTCTTTTGTTTTAAAAGAGGAATTCATAAATCAGTCTGGAAATGGATTGCAATTGTTCCAACTCTCTCGCTCTTGTTCGTACCGGAAATCTATTACGGTCCATTACTGATACAGTGTGGCGGTGACAGCAGTTGGGCCCAACGGCACCACAAAAAAACCCCTATTTGCCGCCTAATCATAGAACAGCGTGGTCCCGTATAGTCCAATTTAGGCTTACCCACATACGCTCACCTAGCATGCTCTCTAAGGCCACTCACTTCCCTTTACCCCCCTAATACCTAAATTTACCGCCAACCTCTCCTTTTCTCTTCTCCTTCCCCCCCTTCCCTTTTCTGCGACTACCTGCTTTTCTTACTAAATACACTCGACCAGTAATTCTGCTCCGTCTCTCTTCCTCCACCCACACCTCAACCAACTTACTTCCACCACACTTGCTACCTCTCTCCCTCTCTCACTCACTCACTCAACTTGACCTTCATCACCACCTTATCCTCTCCTCTTTCTCGTCCCTAGTTTCCCACCTTTTTTAATAGTTCTTTCCCTTCTCGTTTCCTTTTTTTTTCTTTCCCCCTCGTAGTAATCCCATTCAGTCATCATGGAAGGTAAGGTTTCTGCCACCTCAGCGCCTTGCGTCTAGCTCGTTCGCTGCTGTTCTCTTCCCCTCCCCCTTCCGTCGCTCTGTCCGACCGTTACTGATATCATCTTGTGTCACTCGTATAGAGGAAGTTGCTGCTCTCGTCATTGACAATGGGTATGTTTTTATTGGTTTTTGATGGTTTTGTTGATGGAATCCCCCGTGTTTTCCATCCCATCCCGAGCAAGAAAACACCAGCTGCCGGCACCGGTCGCACTGATCGAAGATCACCTTCCCGGCCCAGCTTCTAGCTCTTATGCTTCCTGGAATCGCAATGACGAGATGGATTCTCTTTCGTCTACAATTTGTAAACGTGACTTGGCCCCTATACTGACGAAATTGCCCTTAGTTCGGGTATGTGCAAGGCCGGTTTCGCCGGTGACGATGCTCCCCGTGCTGTCTTCCGTAAGTCAACCCCCCCGCATTAGCCTGATGCATGCCCCTCTCGTCCTTTTCCAAGTCTTCAAGTATAGCCATTTGCTGTGTCCTCGCAGTAATAAGCACCATCTAGATGGATCAACTGTGACGCGTGGCCGCACATGATGAACTCGATTTACTGACTTGAATCTTAGCTTCCATTGTCGGTCGTCCCCGTCATCATGGGTAATTATCCCCCGACCCTCCCAGATAGCTACTCCAGAGCGATGGCCACTGACGATGTATCAGTATCATGATTGGTATGGGTCAGAAGGACTCTTATGTTGGTGATGAGGCACAGTCCAAGCGTGGTATCCTCACTCTCAGATATCCCATCGAGCACGGTGTCGTCACAAACTGGGATGACATGGAGAAGATCTGGCATCACACATTTTACAACGAGCTCCGTGTTGCTCCTGAGGAGCACCCGGTTCTCTTGACCGAAGCCCCTATTAACCCCAAGTCCAACCGTGAGAAGATGACCCAGATCGTCTTCGAGACCTTCAACGCCCCCGCCTTCTACGTCTCCATCCAGGCCGTCCTGTCCCTGTATGCCTCCGGTCGTACCACCGGTATCGTTCTGGACTCTGGTGACGGTGTCACCCACGTTGTCCCCATCTACGAGGGTTTCGCCCTCCCCCACGCCATCTCCCGTGTTGACATGGCTGGCCGTGATTTGACCGACTACCTCATGAAGATCCTGGCTGAGCGCGGTTACACGTTCTCCACCACCGCTGAGCGTGAAATTGTCCGTGACATCAAGGAGAAGCTTTGCTACGTCGCCCTTGACTTTGAGCAGGAGATTCAGACCGCCTCTCAGAGCTCTAGCCTCGAGAAGTCCTACGAGCTTCCTGATGGCCAGGTCATCACTATTGGTAACGAGCGTTTCCGTGCTCCTGAGGCTCTCTTCCAGCCTAGCGTTCTGGGTCTGGAAAGCGGTGGTATTCACGTTACCACCTTCAATTCCATCATGAAGTGTGATGTTGATGTCCGTAAGGATCTCTACGGTAACATCGTCATGGTATGTTTTTCTATTCCGGGTTTCGGGTCCATTCCAGAGGGCAGCACATCACTAACAATAACTTAGTCTGGTGGTACTACCATGTACCCTGGTATCTCCGATCGTATGCAGAAGGAAATCACCGCGCTTGCCCCCTCGTCTATGAAGGTCAAGATCATTGCTCCTCCTGAGCGTAAATACTCCGTCTGGATTGGTGGTTCCATCTTGGCTTCCCTGTCCACCTTCCAGCAGATGTGGATCTCCAAGCAGGAGTACGACGAGAGCGGTCCTTCGATCGTTCACCGCAAGTGTTTCTAAGGTATGGTTCACCTACATGCTTCCTTGAATCCAACCCTCATTGACTCCCTATTGCAGCTCTTGCGCATGATTAGTCTTTTTCGTCGTATTTTCCTGTATTAAAATATCAAACGGGGACTGGCGACATGCGGGCCTCTCTGACTCGCACTAGGAGGAAGATCGCCTGAAAAAGGAACTTTGTTTTAGCTGTGGAATAGAGATGGTTTCTTTGAGACGCTTGTCGCTCGATGCGGGCGCTTTCGCTGGCAGTAAGTTGTTCCTGAGAGCAAGAAGGGGAAGAGAAACGTAGGTGAAGGATGTACATGGGTCATGTGGATGGTGGGGTGAAAGCTCTATTTCATATAGTTCTACGCTCGTGTTTGAATCCTTATTTCCATCCTGGATCCTTTTCCCTAACGAATTTTCGCCTCCGGGCTGGCTACGATTTTAAGATGCTGTTGAAACATTATTATTCTGGCCCGATTCACGCGGGGCTTAACTTCAAATTGACTGTGTCTTGTCACAATTGTCGAGTTTTGCTTCATGAGGCCTATGTAGACCTCGCAAACAGCCCCGTATCATCTACAGCGCACTCCGGCCAAGAACCAATGGATATATACCACTGGGTAGGTCGCCTGCGGCTCAAGAACACAAGCCATCGTAGTACAAAACATGATGTCATTGCCATGTACAGACCAGTCTGGGCCCGGTTAGTAAGAAAGCTGTATGTATAGCGGACTTGTCTGATATTGTTGATGGGCTAAGTGCCTCCTTGGAGATTGGACAGAAGTCTTCGAGTTAGTCTAACATCTATATAGACTGACGTATGCATAGTCTGTTCACTTTTAAAATTCTCATCTGTTTTGGTCTTGAGCTCATCCATCATCGCACATGGGGCAGTAATCAGAATAAAGATAAAAAAAACATCAGGGAAAAAAAAAAAAAAAAAGAAAGGAAAAACCGATGGAGTAAATCATCACATATTACTGAATGGAGATACAACAGTGCGTCTAAGCGTCCCACGTCTCCAACCCCTTGAGGATACATCCTTCCTCTCCCTCCTTCTTGGTCTTGAGCTCACCGACCTCGTAGACCGTTTCTCCCTCCTTCTGCAGCAGATCCTTAACTGCGGCCGCGGCCTCCTTCTCAACAGCAATGATCATACCCACACCGCAGTTGAGCGCACGCGCCATCTCAGTGGCAGTGACATTACCGTTCTTCTTAAGCCAGGCGAAGACCGGCGGAAGCTGCCAGGTGGAGACGTTGATATGCGCAGTCAGCGTCGAAGGTAGCATACGAGGCACATTATCAACCAGACCGCCACCAGTGATGTGGGCAAGACCCTTAATGGCTGACGAGAAGTGGCCGGTAGTCTTGTCGCTGGAGGGGATGGAGAGCGCTTTCAGGAGAGGCTTCACGTAAATGCGGGTTGGGGTAAGGAGGGCACGGCCGAGGGAAAGAGGTTCGTTGCTGAAAGGCATCGAGAAAGGAGCTGGGTCGTTGTAGTTCAATCCAGAGCGTTCGACGATCTTCCGGACGAGAGAGTACCCGTTCGAATGAGGACCGGAGGAAGCCAAGGCGAGGAGAACATCGCCATCTTGCATAGCGGAGGTCTCCGGAAGAATAGTACGAGCATTGTCTCCAGTAGTGTTAATAGCACCTACGGCAGCACCCACAGCATCATAGGTGTCGTCAATGAAGAGGCCAGGCATTTCAGCAGTCTCACCGCCAATGAGGGCACATCCGGCCTGCACACAACCATTGGCAACACCAGTGACGAAGGCGGAGGCTGTGTTGACGTCCAATTTACCGCAAGAATAGCAGTCGAGGAAGAATAAGGGCTCTGCACCTTGGACGACCAGGTCGTTGACGTTCATGGCTACAAGGTCAATACCCACCGTGTCGTGGACCCCCACGGTGTGTGCGATCTTGAGCTTGGTCCCAACACCATCGATGGCTCCAATCAATGTAGGGGAGTGAGGATGGTAGGCAGAGTTGGCAGCAGCAAGAGAAAAGAGGCCTCCGAAGCCACCGATCACCGCATCTGTACCAGGACGCTTGGTCTGGGCAACAGAGCTCTTAATCTGGTCGACGAGGTCATTACCAGCATCAATGGAAACACCGGCAGAGGCATAGGTGAGAGACTCCTTCTGGGATGCAACAGCGTCTCTTTGCCTGAAGGCGCGGTGCGCGATGTCCTTACGGTAGAACATATCTTCAAAGTGAATTGTGGAAATGCCAGAATAGCTCTTGCGGACAGCCTCCTCGAGACTAGATGCTGTAGCGGTGGAAGCAATGACCCGACCACCAGAGGTCTGGAGTTCGTTGCCAACGAGTGTGGTTCCAGCATGGAAGATCAAAGTGTCCTCCGGAACCGGGTCAAGGGTAATGGCCTTGCCCTTAGCATAAGATCCAGGGTATCCACCCGCCACGGCAATGACGGTGGTAGAGAAGTCGGGCTTGACGTTGATTGAGACACCGTCGAGCCAGTGTTCGGTACAAGCAACCATGATCTCCGCCAGATCAGTGTCATCACTGAGCAGGGGCAAGAGGGTCTGAGTCTCCGGGTCTCCACCTCTAACATTATATTCGAGAACCTTAGGGCCATTCTTCGTCATCATAAGACCGGTGAAGAGGATACCCACGAAGGGAAAGCCTTGAAAGCAGTTAGCGCTCTATTCATATAGGTTTATGGCCAGTATGTAAGGACAAACCATCTCTCCTCATGCCGTCAACTGAAGGCTGCACAATGGTGCGGTCGATCTCCTCAAGAACTTCGTTAGAAGAGATTGGGGTAGGAGCGTAGCAGCCCATACCGCCGGTGTTGGGACCCTGGTCACCGTCGAAGATACGCTTGTGATCCTGTGCAGGAGGGAGGGAGCGGATAGTGTAGCCGTCGCTGAAAGTGAGAACACTGAGCTCATCACCCTCGAGGTACTCTTCGATGACAACCTCGTTACCGGCATCACCGAACTGGCGGTCCAACATCATTTCGCGGAGTGCTTGGTGGCCCTCCTCCTTGGTCTGCGGGATAACAACACCTTTGCCACCAGCCAGACCATCTGCCTTGATGACAACATTGTGGGAGATGGAGTCAAGGTATTGACGGGCAGGTTCATACTCGCGGAAGTTCTCATACGCAGCCGTGGGAATGTTATGACGCTTCATGAAATCCTTAGAGAAGGTCTTGGAACCCTCCATGCGCGCAGCGGCCTTGGAAGGACCAAAGCACCTAATACCGACTTTATGGAAATGTCAACATCTTATCTGTCTTGTTTGTAGTTGAGGTTCTCCCCACCTGCTTGGAAATATCCTTGGATGCCATCCACAAGAGGGGCCTCCGGTCCCGGAACCACCAAATTGACTCCGTTCTTTTGAGCGAAGGCCACTAGGCCAGGGTAGTCATTGCCCTTGACGTTGGCATTTGTGATCTTGCTAGGAGCCCCCAAGCCAGTTCCACCATTACCTGGGGCGACATAAACGATTTCGACCCGAGGGGATTGGCTTAGCTTCCAAGCCAGGGCATGTTCGCGGCCGCCGTTACCGACGATAAGGACGCGCAACTGTTCTTGGGACATTTCGAGTGCAGTGTTCTCGAGTAAACCTAATTTGGGGAAATATTAGAAGCTGGATATCCTATCCACACGAGGATCGCATTGCAGGGAAATAATGTATGTGGTGTATTGCTTTTTGAGGCGGAAAGAATGGAGGGGCAAGTCATAGTATATAAAATAGCAGACGTGCCCCTCTCTTTATCATTCTCGAGGTTTGTTTCAATACCCAAGAAACCTCAACAAACACACAATTGTATCAGGGCCGATACTCACCTCACCAGAGAGTCAACTTGAGAGCAAGCTGCATGTATAGCAAGTGTATGGCTTTGGGGAAGAACCAAATCTTGATTTCTCGAGGGTGTTAAGAGTCACCGCACCTTTTTTTTTTTTTTTCCTCTGCTGGCGGGATGGCGGGGCGTCTTTTTCTCCGACCCCGGATTTGGATGAGTGAGTGTATTTTATTAGTCGTGGGTTAGTTTGTTTTTCGTCTTTTTACTTTTTATCCTTCAAATTCTTTGCGTCTTCTTTTGATTTTAACATTTGGATTCAGAGATACTCTTTCTCCGTACGAGAATACATATACATGTTATATACATCTGTGTGTATATTGAATGTTTTGTTATCAGTGTCAAGAACGAGGCTAAAAGAAATCTGGAGAGATGGGGCATTTCCCGATAAGAGTTCGGCACCAAGTAAATAGCAGCTACCTCTTGTTCCTTAAATACTTACTATATTTAATATATAGCTAAGGAATAAACAGATTCAGAAAAGTATCAAACAAAAAGAACAAAAGCCGAACCGAATCGCTCTTTATTGCGCACCCTCCACGTGATACATACCCTAGATGTACTGTATATGTATATATACATGTGCCGTATGACTTGTTTCTGTCATGCTCGTAATGTACTGTATATACAATATCATTTGAAACCTGACACATACCGCCGGGCTTCTCGTCGCCTCCAGAGCGGTGAGGAGCTGTACGGCAGAAAAATAAAAAAAGAGCAAATGTAATGAAGCTGTTCAAGCTTTTCAACTTTCAAGCATCAACACTTTGCCAGCAGCTGCTCTCAATTGACAGAATATTAGTGTTACTACCCTGAAGGCTGCTCCGAAACATTTGACCTGAATGTTCCGGGCTTCCCTGCGGTCTGTTTCAGACCCTCTCCGCGAACATGTCTGCATCTCCTGTTTAGCCCAGAGGCTCGGAGGTCGCACTAGGCTCCGTCTGTACTCCAACACTCCATATCGCGCAAACTCGAGCATCGAAGATGCATCCGCTCGAGTTGTCTCAGAGGGTTTGTCGGCTCTAGACAAGGTAAGATCATCTGCGGATCATGCGTCTGGCAATTCCATGGTTTACTTTCTGTCATCCTTCGACCGATCGCCCTTCGCAACTCCCCTACTCTATGGCGTACGTACACTGACTGACTTTGCTTTGACAAAAAGAGTCCACCACCGCAGAAAGACCGGAAAAGCCGATCTCCTGGCGAACGTTCAAAGCAGCACAACAAGAGACTCAATAACCTCAAGTCAACTTCCAATGCTCTCGAGGATGGTGAAGCTGCTACGACCAAAACTGACGATGACACTACCTCGCCAGCCGAGGATGGCGAGCCATCCAAGGATCAGTCGGTGCATACGGCTGGCAAGGGATCAAAGAAAATTACCGGGAAGGCTCGAAAGATGTCTGCGATAAAAACTCGGAGAGCCTTAGCCAAGGAGAAGCAAAAGACAAAAGCCTCAAAAGACCATCCAGAACAGAAAGAACAACTCGCTGCAGAGACCCAAGAAGATCCGGTGAGCATAATTCATGGTCCCTGCATTGCTGGTATCGCTAAACAATGTTAGGCATCTCGTATCAAGTCGTCGCTCCAATCGATCGTTTCTCACCTGGATTCAACGAAAGCTACAAGTGTAAGAGAACAGGAAAGCCCTAAGAACTTGTCATTTGTTATGAGCTCTATATACGCAAAGGAGCTTGGCAAGGTTGAATCGAAAGACCTGCAATTGAATCGTACGTATTTCTTGCCAATTGCCGACATTGAGCACACTCTAATTGTCACTAGCTCTGGATGTTGAAACAGCGCCCGTTCCCCGACTCTCTTTTGGCCTTGAAAGGGTTCTTTTTAAGTAAGTAACCCGAGAGCCTGTCTCGGAAGTGGGACCAAGCTTACCGTTTTGTTCCAGCCCAGGTGTTTACCATCTTCGGGACCCACGGTCTCGTGTCTACAATTTCGACCCCTACTTGGGCCAGATCATGCCTGTCACCGAATTCGATTTTGATGCTTTGAAGGACTATATCACCTCTTCCAAGGATCAGACGCTCCGGGATATAGCGGTGAAGGAGAAAAAGAAGTACATAGGATCATCTTCGAGCATGACCTCTGTGTTGTCACACTTTCATTATCTCCTTTCGGCATGGAGGGGAGTTGATATTCGGACCTTGTCCCAAGGCTTTCCGGATAAATTAAGGTCCTTCACACGTCTCCTGCGTGCTCCTTCAGCCATGTTTCTCCGATACCAAGATGGGGTCTATGCCATCGACGCGGACAAAGAGTTTGAGTCTGCCAATATCCTAATGAACTTGGGAAAGTCAATGGAGAAACTCCTTACCTTACCGAAGGATGATTTTGAACGCTACAGGCGGTCGAGTGAGAACAAGATCTCTGCCGAGGAGGAACAGGCTATTCCCGAGTCCTACCACTATTCTACGCTTGGTGATTTCCTCATGAGATCTCAGTTAGATGCGTATGACCCCAGGCTTCCTGGAACTGGCATGTTCGATCTCAAAACGAGGGCTGTAGTCTCCATTCGGATGGACGCTCGTAACTTCGAACGTGGTCTTGGTTATGAAATTCAAAACCGCTACGGCGCCTTTGAATCCTACGAACGCGAGTTTTACGACATGATCCGAGCGGCCTTTCTTAAATACTCTCTTCAGGTGCGAATTGGCCGTATGGATGGTATCTTCGTTGCCTTTCACAACATTGAGCGTATCTTCGGATTCCAGTACGTCAGCTTGCCGGAAATGGATCAGACACTGCATGGCCAGTATAACACGGCATTAGGTGATACGGAGTTCCGCCTGAGTCTAGCATTGTGGAACAAAATTCTAGACAAGGTCACGACGAAGTTCCCCGAAAGGTCCATTCGTCTTCACTTTGAAACCCGAGACGCCCAAACTCCGTTCATGTACATCTTTGCCGAACCTGTCACTGACGATGAGATTCACTCCATTCAGACCAGGAATCAAGCTGAAATCGATGCGTACCAGCGACGGGTCTTGAATTTAGCTCCCTCCGAGGAAGAAGATGTACCATCCACGGATGGTAAAGAAGAGCTTCAACCGTCTAGCAGTTCTGATAAGCAAGAAGGGTCAGTTGAGGAAGAGAGGAGATCAACAGAGCTTGGCCCCGATGATTATGAAGTGGAATATGACTCATCAGCGCCGCTTGACGAAGCTTTCCTCTCGGAAGTTGAAAATGAAGTCGCGGAGAAAGCCCCTAATAATGGCCGCGAGTTACTTGCCATGACTCTTGTGACCAAAAACTTTGTCAACGGTAGAATCGTTGAACGGCCCAGCGACCTGAAAGCAAACGATGAATGGAATGTCGAGTACGAACTAAGCGAACTGAAAGGGGAAAAGGCACGCGCGTTGTACGCAGCATGTCAAAAACGTCGGGAGAAGGCTCTCACGGGCCGAGGAGAGGATGAACAAGACGTCGCAAACAACGTATACATTCGGCGACTACGGGAGATTAGCAAAAAGGGACGAGACTACCGCAGGAAAGAAAACAAGCTGGACAAAGAGAATGGTATTGTTGTGCTGGACGAGTCAGCCTAATCAGTCAAATTTGGGTTTCAGCAAGGGTGTAGTCATGCGCCCCATCCATCCACCCACCTTTTTAATCCTTCTCCATTCTACAGATACCTCTCAAGATCTTATGTATAATATTGTCTCCAACTCCAAGTTTTATGGTTGTGGAGTTGGACTGTTTGCATCCAGGGCGTTAGGCCTGTGCTATTCCTGTATGGCGTTCGTTTGATGTTCCAACCCAGGGTACTGAGTCTGGGATTTAGATAGCATTGTGTATACGATTGGCTGTGTGTTTTTCTAGTTGGTATATACGTTACTTGCGGTTCTTAGACTCCTAATCCACTCACATTCAGCGCAATTCATATACTAGACCTATGGCGTTGAGAGGCCCAACTCATGGCTAGACAATCCAGTCATAGCACACGCTAGTATTAGAGTGTTTTGGTGTAGGCTTCTGTAGCAAGGAGGTGCTGTAGACAAAGACCAGACAAGGTAACCAGATCACCAGTTAACCCGATTAAATGATACTTGATGAAGTTGCAAGGAATGTTTGTGAAACAACTATACATGAAACATACCTACCCAACATCAAAATGAATCACAGCCAAGTAACATAATTGGATCAGTCTATATTCACAAAATATATACATATATACATACATACGTAGTATCGCTATATATCCAGTCTAAAACCATACTACAAAAGTCCCAAAACAATAGCCCAACTCAATCGCATAGCTCAATCTTCAAGACCGACGATGATAGGTTCTATGACATTAACAATTAGGGCATCAAGTCAACTCAAAAAACAACGGATGTCCCAATAGACTTCACAAGAAACACCTAGAGGACTGAGCCCTCATATAGCATAAATAGCACGGGGTGGAACGCCGTCAAACCGATACGCCAAACTTGCAAATGTCAATCCAAGTACGTCTCTTGGTGGTTGGATGATTGCCTTTCCGGAGGCAGACGGAGATAAGGGGAAAAGCAAGGTAAAAGCGATAAAAAGACATTCGAGACAAGCCAGAGCGAACGCCAGCTAGCCGAGGTCAAGGTATATTGAGGACAGGAGAGGAGAATATGAGAGACGCCATGCAATTATACTGGATAGAAAACAGCTTCCATCCTTCAAGCTTAAAGGCGTGCGATTGAGAGGAGCGTCACCGAAGTCTGGGGACGACTCGGACGTAGAGGGGGGTGAGAGGGAAAGAAAGAAAGCTGTACATATTTCATAAGGACAGCTAGAGGAGGTAGATCTTTCGGCTAGCGAAAATGTGATTCAAATGGTTCTCGTAGCTCGGATTTCGTGATTCATCTCAAAAGCGAAGAAGAGCCCATTCTGTTTGATGGGCTCTGAACGAGTAGCAGGACTATCGAAAGTCCCCTAGGTCAAGTTTGGGTGGCGACCATTGCAGCGTCGGCGGCCTGTCACGAGAAACGCAAACAGCTGCGGGCTTCATTTTTTCCGCCCGTCTGCGCTCTTTTGATGCACCTCCCGTAAGAAGTCCCCTTAGCGTCGACGAAGTTGTACCATATGAACTGCGGGCACTCGCAGCTGTACCCGCACTGGTAGAAACGGTGCTGGAGCTGCGGGCACTGCGAACACTGCTGGATTTATTAATGACGGATGGCATAGAAGGAACTGGCACTGCTAGTCGCGACGAAGGCCCACTGGAACTGACGTAATCAGACGGTAGAATCTGAGGCGCATACTCAAAAGAGAAAGGAGCTGTCTGTGGGCGCATTCTGGGCTCGATTTGTATGTTGGTTTCTGTGTCGAGGCTTCGGAAAATGTCTAGATGGCTTGCCTCGGTGGGCTCGCTTGCCTTTGGTGACGGTTGTGTGTTTGTCTGCGGCCTCGGCGGAATTTCTTTTTCAGATACTGTTACGTCAAGCTTCAGGTTGTCCAGCATCGTCGCAAGGCTCGCCGCCGTGTTGGGACGCCCGTCGCTGGCAGCATCATCGCTATCAAGCGCAGCAGTTTCAACCTCAATTCCATTAGCCACGTTGAAGTTTCGGAACAAATAACGACGTAGGCGAGAAACCTCCGCGTCCCATTTTCGATTCAGGGATTGCAAAATCACTTCAATGTCGTGGTGTAGGAAAGGAGAGGTTTCGGCAGCCGCCAGATTGTTGGGCATAGAGACTCCGGAGCGAAGGTGGCCCGGCGCATGCACGTGTTTACTTGATCTATGTCCCACTGTCGCATGTTTTGCCGCATTTAATGATCGACGGATCGTGCTCGTAGTGGAACCTTGCGCGACGCCCATATCACGTTTGACGCTTTCAATCTCTCGGCGCACCTTGTCCAGTGACTGAATCCGATCGCGGTCCATGTATGATAGACTCAGCAGAGACTTGTTCCGCTGCAGGCCGTTAACTAGAACGGTGAACGACTGCAAATTGATGTCGTTGTTTTCACAATAGACCTCACGAAGACAGTCATTCTCCTCCAGTACGGAGGCCAGTGTACTTGCGCCCTGTAGCCCCAGTTTTTGGTGTTCGATTCTCAGTACTTTCAAGGACTTGTTCTTTTTCAGACCAGTCAGTGCCAGATTGAGACCAATGCCAAATCTCGCCACATCTAGGTGGGCACTCTCTCCACTGATATCCAAGTCTTCCAACGTCTCATTCTCTTCGAACATTAACTGCAGTGCTCTGCACGTTTCCGGCCCTGCGTCGTACGGCAAGGATGCTTTCGAGATATCAAGATGCTTCAGGGATCGGTTTTTGCGCAGAGCCTCGACTAATTCCCGGAACTGCTCTTCCTTTTTGAAGTCGATCATTCGCATTGACAGATGGGGCGGCGACTTGCTTTTTGCAAGTGCGTCGAAGAGAAACGAGCATCCTAAGTCTAGTCGGTTTTCATTGACGTGTAAATGCAGGTCGCGAGCACAATCTGCGACCACCGAGGAATGTAAAAGGATAGCCACGTCCTGCCCTGTCAGGCCACATTGGTCAAGACGAAGCACACGCAACCCTCGGGATCGATCGCTGGCCAGGTAGGTAGCAATTGCATCCACCGTCTCCCGGTTCACTTTGGTCCGACTCAATGAGAGCTCCTCGAGCTGCCAGTTGATCAAGGTCTCCGCAGTTATCAACGGATCGGGACCTGACGTCCTGGAGATGCGTGATAAGTCAAGCTTCTTGACCCGCCTAAAGTAGCCAAGGTACTGTTGAAGGATATCGGGGCTCAGTCGGCCCTGCACGCCTGAAATATTGATTGCTTCCAGCGTGTGAGCCTGAGTAACGGTGGTGGAAAGTAACAGGTCGACGTCGTGAACCGATAAGCCGCAGTTGCCTACCTCTAACGCTCGCATCTGACTGGCTCCTTGAGAGGCTGCGTCTACGAGGTAATCGAGATCAGAGTCCCCTAGCTTGATGCCGTTCAGCACAACCCAATCTACACTTGTCAGCTCCCGGCGACATATCGGAAATATCGCCTCTGGAATGCCGCAACCTGGATCGTGGCTTTCATTGTCGGATTTTGGGGTTCGGCTTAGAGTGTAAGAGAAGTCCAAGCGCCGAAGCCAATTACTCTTGAGCGTTAGGGCACGAATCTCCTGGGACAGAACCGAGAGACTCTCTTGGCCTGTAATGTGAATTGGAGCGCCTGCACGGCTTAAAAGCATATCCTTATCCAGTCCATGGTAGTCACGAAGACCTTGGAGCGCATCCAAGCTGACACCGCTAAATGAAATAGACCGAAACGATTCATTGTACCGCAATGCCCGCAATACTGCGACCAGCTCCAAAGCCGTGTACTTGCGGCGAGATGGCGAGGCGGGGGGTAGAAGCTTGAAGCACGGAGCATCATCACATTGCACATCAATCGTATAACGAATGTTGGAGGTATCGACATCGTAGCTTGCCGAGTATGCGACTAGTGTTCGGTCAAAGCAACCATAATCCTCATTTAGATCCACTGGAGGGAAATTAGATTCATTGCCCAGATCGCGAGGCACGATGAAATCGTAGGGTTGTCTGACCCAGAGAGGCCGCAAAAATTCCGTTTGTTGTCTTATCCAAAAGGCGATCTCGAGCGAGTGGACGGACGCTAGGAAGACCGAGAAAGGCTTACATAAAGGTATTCGAAAGGTGAGGTGTAGACTATCGTCTCCCCATTCCATGGACAAGCAGGTGAGATTCATCAGCCCGAACGTCGTTGCGTTGTCTAGGTCGCTTAAGGACACGGCTGAGCCGCGGTTGGAGACCTTGTGGAGAGGAATCAGATGAAGCTTATGTGAGCCGAGGGCAAGATAGCATCCAGTGGGGGACAGTTTGGTAAGATCTTCTGAGGATGTCCGCGCCGGAGACTTGCTGGAAGCCATCTGAATGACACGGAAAATGCGAAAGGTCTCCGGATCATAGTCTCTTTCGTATTCAAGCATCCTTATGACATACTCGATCGATCGCTGGTCGAAAGGCAGAGGGTTGCCCTGTCGAATTAACTCGGCTGCAGAACGAATTCCAACCATCCACAGGTTGAGTTCCTGCAGATCAGGCGTCTGCATTTGGATGAAGGCTGCTTTGTGAGCCCGCTCATCTAGGTATGCGACCTCCACCGTGGAGGAGGGTTTCCCATCGTCCAGCATGTACACGGCGACAATGCTATTCAGCGGGATTCCCGCAGCAGAATCGCTCGTAGTGGAGAGTTGTGGATCCCCTAACGAACTGATCGAGGTTATGGACTGGCGATTGCTCGGACCAGACCGGGCAAAGGAGGGCGGGATTGAAGGAAACATGTCCGCTGCCTTACTTTGGCTCTTGAGCCGGACGAGATGGGTATCGGTCAGGACGAGATACTGGCTCTTTTTCCTCCACATGCCTCCGGTGGTTTGAATCTCCCCATGATGTAAGATCACAGACCCGATGCCTTGTCGAGAATCGGACGCCTCGTCGTCGTCCATGGATGGCGAACCTTTCGAACGGCCTAGCGACCGGTCCTCGTCCTCGAACGAGTGAAACGATCGAAGAGATCCAAAGACGGAGGCCCGTTTCCTTTGCATCGACTTCCGTCGCGGACGAGGCGCCTCGAAAGCCCCATTGGGCGTCACTGCTGCGTATGCAGCGGCGGTCGTGTCGGCTGTTCCGGGGCGCCAAAGGCCATGGCTTGGCCCGGGCGGACTAGGGTTTCGACCACCGAAGAAGCCCGAATTGCGCCGTTTCTTCTTCACCACCTGGGCATCATCGGATGGAGATCGATCATGGGTACCGAGGCCGGATAGGGACGAGGTCGTCGACGGGCTGAACACACTCAGACTTTTCCTCCGCTCTTTCTTCCCCAGACTGCTGTCAGCCATGACGGGGAGAGGGGAGAGGGAAACTACGGGGGTAAAA